GCTTTTCCCTACCCAGGAGGCTGGGGTGTCTGCCCCTACTTCTCACTCCCCCATTGCAGGAGCCAGGTCTCATGGCTTCTCCTAGGTCCCACCTGCTTCCCTAATTTCCCACCACACACAGTTCTGATCACACAGCAGGGGTGGATCTTGGGGCTGCTGTGTCAGTCTGTCCAGCCTGTGACTGTTCACCCCCACTGATGAGGCCTCATCACTTCCAGGACAGCCCACTTCCTCTTCAGATTGTGCTAGCCACAAAGGGCTCTCCTTCTTGAGTCAAAAGTAAGTGTGCTGTCCTCATTTCTATCCCTGACTATTGCTGGTTCAATAACAATCACTATTAATAATTGAGATTACCAAACATCAGCCACTTTACCTGTATTATCTCATTTAATCCTCTCAACAATTTAAGGGATTATTCCAGGGATAAGAAAACTGAGGCTAAAAAACAAGTAACTGGTCCAGATCACACAGTGAATAAGGCTGGAGCTAAAACTTGAACTTTAGCAGGCTGCAGCCCAGACACCCAGCCTCTGAGTGCGCGTGGGGCCACTTAGGCCCGGCAGCCCCCCCCAACACCCCCCCCCCATCCCGCATGGTCGTCTGTCTAGATTGGAAAGAACCGCAGTCCCCAGACTGTCATCTCTTTTTTCCAGTCCACTCCCCACCACCCTTTGGCAGCAGATAGAGTGCGACCTCTTCATTCAAAGCAGCAAGTGGGGAGCAGGTGAGAAGGTCGCCTGTCTAGGGCACAGGGTTTTGAGGAGGTTGCAGGAGATGACCCTGGGCCTAAAGTTGAGGACTGGAGCTGGCTGGAAATCAGCACCCCGCACTCAGAGAGGTGGAGGGTTGACTGACACGGCAGGCCCTGCCCCCAACCAGGTTGTCTTCCAGAAGTTTCCACGAAGGAGGCACATTGAGTCAGAGAAATTAAAAATGAACAGGTTTCTTCGATCCAATTTGTGGTCTTTTCCCACATCCCCATCGCTCAGCATGATTCCCTTGGAACTCTGGGAAGACACCAGAGACTGCAGGTGCCCCAGGTGCCTGCCAGGCCTTGGGGGCAGTCATGATAGGGGATGGGAGCTTTTCTTCCCCCTCTAGGTTTGGCCCAGACAAATTAGCAGTCGTGCACCTCCAGTTTGCCTTCCCAAGACCCCGACCCCAGAGTCTGCTTCCAAAGGCTTAGGATCCTGTCTATCATTCATGAATTTATAGCTAGTCAACAAATATTCTCTGAGTACTGGCTGTGTGCCAGGCCCCCAGGATACCAGGACAAAGAGAACACCTCTGCAGCAGCTGGAATGAGTTTAAGAGCATGGTTAACACCTCAGCTCTGCCACTTACAGCTATAAGTGAGCTTAAGAGGTCAGGAAATCTTTGTCCCAGTTCCTTCACCTGTCAAAGGGCATGATGATAATATACTCCCCTACCTAGTGGTGAGTACTATAATAGTAGTTGCTATTATTATTTTTCTTCTCTTCAAATAACCAGTCTGGGGTAGGGCCAGGGAGTCTTTTGTGTAGACCATCACTCATAATGCCAAGGGTAGAGCTGGGCAGCGGGCACCCTGTGAGGGCAGGGCAGGAGCTGCTCCCTGGCCAGCACTTCACAAACATTTATGGAGAGCTGCTCTGTGCCAGGCACTGTGCTGGCACAGTGAGGACACAGAGATGAACGGGGCACATTGTCTACTCATCCCTGTTCCTCCCTCTCTCCTCATCAGGGCCCAGTCCAAGACCCTGTGCTGCAGGGGGCCCAGGGACAGAACAATGTGGGCAGAGGCCTGGGACCCCAGAGCCAGGACACCTAGGTCCCTGACCCCCACTCACAGGCACTCTCTGGCCTTAGTTTCCCCATTGTCACATAAGGGAGGTAGACAAGATGACCCCTCTGGTCCTGACTTAATCTGACAGGTAAGTACTACACCCCATCCCACAGGGCTTTAAACCTACCCCAGAGTATAGCCCCAGACATCCCAGCCTGCTGCCCCAGTGAGGCAGTGGGGAGATGCCTGGCTGGTACTGACTGGCACTGCCCGGCTGACAAGCTGGCACAATTTCACATGAAACAGGGGGGCCTGGATCTAAAGGCAGGTTGTTTGAAGGGGGTGGGTGGGGTGCTGGGGAAAGGCAGAACCAGCTCCCACAGGCACTATTCATGGCCATCTCTAGGGAGGGAAAGAGAGCTAGATAATTAAAACCAGCTTTTGTCCAAATCCCTGGCCACGCCAGTATCTCACCTCTGAACCCCTGCAGCCAACAAAGCAGGACTGATGCCCTTTTGGAATACCAGTAGCCCAAGGGCTGTGGGCTGGCTCTGGGGGAGATGGAGGGTTGGGGGACAAAGCTGATTGCCCCTCACCACTACCTGAGGCTTCGGCATCCTGAGGCCTCTGGTCCCCATCCTCATTCTGACCAAAAGAGGTGCAACCAAGTTCCAATCAAGAGCTTGACTTCGACCTTGGGCTGTGTGTTCAGGATGGATCTGGTCGGAGTGACAGCAAGACAACGCAGGTCCTGAGAAGCAGGACTGCAAGGTGAGCGCAGGGACCTGCAGCGGGGCTGTCAGGCCCCTGCTGTGGATCTGCTGCCCCGGTTAGCAGCGTGACTTTGGCTAAGCTACTTGCTCTCTGTTCCCCAACGGTGAAATTGGGGGAGAATAGTATCCACATTATGGTGGTGTTGTGAGAATTAAATGAGTTATTTTATATCAACCGTGGCCCAAAGCAAGTGCCACCTGTCTTAGCTAGACTGTTAAAGCAACTCCCTCTTCTTAACACCACATTTTTCAAGCACTAATACCTATGTGCATGTGCATTTCCTATGAATCTCCCCGATTTCTAGATTAGCCTCCAACAGCACAGGCCTCTACCCACCTAGCTCACTATGCTGAGAGTCCTTCCAGCTAGGCTGGGATGCTTCAACGCACAAGCCTTTCCTAGAAGTCCCCTGAATACAACCCTTTCTCCCGTAACTGAGTCCATTCTCTTCCTGGTAACCCCATACGTCATGAAGCCATGCTCAGTATCCCTACAATGACAGATGAGACAATAAATACCTCTGCTCACTCCCTCACCTCTACTCCCATCATTGCCCAAAATGCTGCACCCCAGGAGGCCACAGAGGTCTCCTGTTCCCTCCCTCAAGAGTTCAGGGCTGGCCTATGTGGGGGCACAGAGACCCCTATCCAGGCTGCCTAAACACAGCCTTATTTCCTGTGTCCATTCTCACTCTGCTTGAATTAGGACCTCAAAAGCCTGGCCCATACCGCATGATGTCCCAAAGCCACCTGCCTAATAAATTTATTTCCCCCCTGCTCCCTGACCTCAGCAGAAGGCAGGGGGTCTAGCCCTGGCTCTATCACGGGGAGTCAGAGACCTAGAATATCCTGCCAACTCCCAGGGTTTTTCAAGGCCTCTAAGCCAGCAGCACGGGATGTGCGGGCTCACCATTCCCCAGGGGAGGTAGGGCCTGGGCCACGGGGCACTCGCAGTTCCCAGCCACCTAGGGGATGGACCCAGCCACCAAATGAGCAAGTGGAAGAAGGGGCTGGGATTGGGGGCCTTTGGGCTATGTTTGGAGCTGAAATGACTGGTTACATGATTGAGATTCACATCATATGCCAAAGAGCACATCTCCATGAGAGCTGGCCACTTTTGGGAAAGGGCTGTTGTGCTGGCAGAGAGGAGAATCACGTGAGATCAAACACCACCCACCCCCAGTTGGGCCACCGGGTGGCTAGGAGTGGAAATGGTGGGGGGGGGGGTGGAGATGAAGGATGTGTTGGTGAGGGGAACCCAAGGGACTCATGCTTAATGACCTCCACCCCCAGCCCCTGTCCATCCTGAATTTCAAGTTTGTAATTAGGAAACACTTTGGCTGAAAGGTGGAAGGGGAGCCAGGAGCGAGGTGCAGACTGAGAGAGAAGGAGGCACACATCTAGCTCCTTCCTAGACAGGAGCCTCTCTCCAAAAGTTTGCAAATCATCAGTCCCCAGCGGCAAGCCTGGGAAGGAGAGTTCCTACGTCCTTCAGCTTAGGCTCCTCCAGTCCTCCTGCCAGAGCAAGAAAAGGCCTCAGTGCCTGCCTTGACCCGAACATGGACCCCAGGGAACTGAAGCTTAGAAAACACTGGACCATGGCTTTCAACCCTTCAGCTTGGGAAGGAGGGAGTGCCAGTTTGGGTGTTCAGAGAGAGGGGGCAGCCAGGCTGGGGCAGGGTGTGTGTGTGTGTGTGTGTGTGTGTGTGCAGAGGCCCCTGATGGCCCCTCCCCAGCCTCAGCAGCTGGCAGATGAAAGAACCCAAGCAAAGCAGGCAGCGCTGAGTAATGCCCCTGGCACCCCGCGCCCAGACCCACCCACAGTCAGCAGAGTGGGCAGAGGGGAGGGCAGCCACGCTTGAGGATGGGGGTGGGTGGGTCTCGGGCCTGATTCTTTGGGGGAGGGGGGGTGTTGGAAGGTGGCAGGCTCGGCTCCTGGCAGGCCTTCTTGAGGTCCAGACCCGCAGAGGACGAGTGTGGTGTGGGGATCAGGGTGTCCTGCTGCCCTGGCCAAGGACGTCCCGCTCCGGGAACCCCCTCCCCCACTCACTCTCCCTCCAGCTGTGCCGAGGCCTCGCCAACGGAAAACGAAAACTCGGGCAGAGGAAACGGCAACAGGCGCCCCGCCTGAAAAACCCGGACAAAAGGCGCGGATCCCCTGCCCCCCCAGCCCGGGCGCTAGGGCCTGGCACCGCCGTCCCGGTCCGTGCCCCCTGCCCTGGCAGCTCCGTGGGCGCCCCGGCCCCGGCCTACCTCCTCCTCCCCGTCCCCCTGCCCAGGGCAACTCTCACTCCTGGCCTTCCCGAGCCTGCCACCGGCCGACGTGCCCCACAGCCGAGCCTGCGGTGCCCCCGCTCCGTGCCCAAGCTGTCCCAGTCCGGCAAAGGCACCGCGACCCCGACCCCGCCGCCAGCTCCCCGGCAGCGCCTGCATCCACCCCTCCCCTGGCTCCGCGCCCTCACCTGGGGGGGCCGGGGCTCCGGGCGGGGCGGGATCCCGACCAGGCAGAAGGCGACTCCATTCATCGGGCGGCAGCGGCGGCTCTGCGGCCGGG